TACCATGGGCTCCACCCCAGCTTCTTATTCAAAACTCCAGTAGGGCAGTCATACATTGTATGTCGCTCCACCATTTTGAACTTATTCGTGACATTCGTCAACGTGGCCAGCAGTGGACGAAAGCTGGGCCGAGCGGCGAGCTGTTCGGGTCAGAGCAGATAATCCCCAACCAGTCTATCTTCTGATAGCGGTTCACCGAAATAATAACCATGGAGAGGATGCGGACAGCAGAAGCAAGCTCGTAGGCAGGTTGGTAAATATATGCATTGCGCCAGCCTTCCGCACCCATCACATTCCCTCTGGTGGAGCTTTCGGCAGAGCTATTTTGCTATAATATGTACAGAGACCTACATTACGATTATCCCCTTCACCGTGTTTGGCGCGATGTGAAGAGCCGTACGGAGCGATGGAATCGTGTCGACAAAATAGCTCGAGTATCGGCTGCAGCGCCGAAACCGCATCGATCGACGAGTGAAAGACTTTCAAAAATGTCGACGAGCAGTTCGGCTGGGAACACAATGAGCGAGCCGAGCTCTCTGACGTGTGGGGCTGGGTCGTTGAGCGAGAAGATAGGGGCCATGCGATCGAGGAGTCGGTCGAGATAGAAATAATTCTTTCGGAGATCAGCATGCGTAAAGGTGAGACTCTCGATATTGAGATCGGTTGGAAGTGCCATTGCAGGATCTTGTGGAAAATGGCTGTCTCGGGACTGCGTTCGGTGGTGGGTTCAGACAAACAGCAGAAGCTGAATTGTGTTACGGTTGTTCAGTGGTGGAGACCAGGCAAGTTAGATGAATGGTAAGATGGGAAAGCCTTTTATATCACCCTTCGATATTTAGGCATCAAATATTCACGGTGATGCTGCCTACGCTGAACCGTGGGACGCTGTGCCCAGCATTTCTCAAGTAAAGGGCGCAAGCTCGCAGAGTCTTTGGTCAGCCAAGACTCATCACAACTCTTACAAAAGTTATGAAAGTTTTCACGGTTTCAACCAATCAAAGCTCGTCGGCACTCAGCCCATCGACTCTCAGCATAGTTGGACCATGGATGCGGTAACTCAACGTGGTTCAAACCACCCCTGACTTTTATTTTCGTGCTGCCAGGTCGACGCGCGTTTTTATATCAGCGGAAGCTACATGCAAGTTGGTATACGGAGAATAGATAGGGGATGAAGGAGAGAACAAGTTTCGCCCGCTAGAGAGCCGAATTTGAAGGCCAGTTAGAGTATTGAACGGAAAGCTATTCTAGTTACCGGTAGTTAAAGAATGAGTAGAGGAAGCTTGGAGCATGTACCAAAGGTAACCGTGGTCACATGAATGAAAAGTGTGACATAATTTGGGCGCTGACAGTATGCAGTCTTCGATGCGATGACGATCCGATGTTGCGTTTACATGTCTGACGAGACACGAGACAGCAAGTCGTTGGATTTTGCGGTGGGTGGTTCATCGCGGAACTCGTTCCGTCCATGGTCATGTGCAATCCCAGGGCACGATTAAAGACTTGGATACAATGAATGCTCGACGAAATGCGAGTGTCATAATCATTAAGTATAGGTAATTCAGTTCGCCTTATTCGCAGATGCACCGTCTGGAGGTCCTTTTCCGTCTGGAGGTCCTTTTCCGTTTTGGGCAGGTCCTTGCGTGGCTGTCTTACTCCAGACTCCCCCATTGTACCCCTTCACACGGTCGATGCCCTGCCTGTTAAATTGCACATGGCAGAGGCGATCGAATTCTCTCCATTTTGTTATCCTCATCAGGCGTTAATTGAGTCTGGGCCTGACGTGATCGCCATGGCATCAAGCTCGTATACAGGCCCCGTCTTACGATGAAGGCGAATACCGGTATCGAGACGAATTAGGGAGGTGCATGCGAGGGTCTTCCTAGCTAGGAGCTTGCTTGCCTGTACGTATCATTGTTGTTTCGACTGGGTCGATCGCGGGCCGATAAGCTTCCCCTCTTCGTAAGATTTGGCTGAAGACCCCACCTCAGTCGTGACAGCGGAATCATCCCATCATGCGCCTCGAACCGGGACAGGGCACATGACTACATATATATCCGCGCGCCCTTCCAGAGACATGTTGACTCTGTCCGTAGACAACCGTCACGGTATATCAACGAGCCATTCACCGTCCGGATTGACAGAAGCTCCGGTCTTCAGTAATTAGCCATGGCTCCGCATCCCTTTCAAACTTTGGGCGTTGAGGAGACTCGCATCGCGCGAGAAGTCATTCTCTCGAGTCATCCAGACGCTGTGGTTGATTTTCGCGAGATATATCTCCAAGAGCCGGAGAAGGCGCTCATGAAGCAATACCTTGACTTGGAACATGCGTCAACACCGGGACAATCGCCAGCTTCGAAAAGACCACCGCGTTTGGCAAAGTGCCAGTACGATATCATTGGCTCCGATAAAATCCCAGAGTACCATGAGTCGGTCGTAGACATTGAGTCAAAGAAGCGGGTCAAGCACGAGGTTATTGGGAAAGAGTTCCATGCGTCGTTGACCTTGTGGGAGTTTCAGATCCTTCTAGAAGCTTGCAAGAAATCGGAAATGTTTCAGAAAGCAATGGCCGAGTTCAAGTTTCCAGATGGCTTTGAACTTGTGGTAGAACCATGGTATGTTCTGCAGCGCTAATCTTTCTCGACTCGACTAAACGCATAGGCCATATGGAGGGCTGGATTTGCAATCGGAGAACAGACGGTACTTCCAGGGTCTATGTTTTGCGCAAGATACCCGTAACGGAAATGCCGACTCGAACTTCTACGCCTATCCCCTCCCAATAATCCCTATTCTAGACGCACACAAGAAAGAAATCGTCCGAATTGATCGACTGGCAACTGGTGGCAAGGGAGATTCACTGACAGGCCAGACTCATTCGGAGAAAGTGCTCGACCACTGCCAATCTGGTGAATACGTTCCAGAGCTCGTTGATCTCAGGAAAGATTTAAAACCGATTGATATCACGCAGCCTGAAGGGCCCTCTTTCAAAGTCACAGATGAATCCCTTGTAGAATGGCAGAAGTGGAGGTTCCGACTTTCCTTTAACCCACGTGAAGGAGCTGTTTTGCACGACGTGCATTATGATGGACGAAGCATCATGTACCGTCTAAGCTTCAGCGAGATGACCGTTCCTTATGGAGATCCACGCCCTCCTTTCCACCGTAAGCAGGCTTTTGACTTTGGCGATGGCGGAGCTGGAAACTGCGCCAACAACCTTTCTTTGGGGTGCGATTGTCTCGGCGTCATCAAGGTATGTTGATCTACATTCGGCGTGATTTGACATCTGCATTGACTACATGACCAGTACTTCGATGGCGTAGTGATAGACTCGGATGGCCAACCGCGGGAACATCCCAATGTGATCTGCTTGCACGAACAAGACAACGGTATCGGATGGAAGCACACGAACTGGCGGACCGGCCGCGCTGTCGTTACCCGTAACCGCGAACTGGTTGTTCAATTCATTATCACACTTGCGAACTACGAATACGTATTCGCTTACATTTTCCGTCAGAACGGCGATCTTACCGTCGAAGTCCGCGCTACTGGTATCGTATCCGTGGTCAACATTGATCCAGGAAAGACATCCGAGTATGGAAACGTAGTCTCTGGCGGCGTACTCGCTCAAAACCACCAACACTTGTTCTGCATACGTGCGGATCCTGCAATCGACGGACACAACAATACAGTGGTGTACGAGGAGAGCCACTCTATGCCGATTGACAAGGATACGAACCCCCAAGGCAACTTTTACCAGATCCGCAAGACACCTGTGACGCATTCTGCTGGCTTGGATGCTGCACCACAACATAATCGTGTTTTTAAGATTACGAATCCAAACAAGAAGAATCCTCTGAGTGGGAATCCGGTCGCGTATAAATTTATGCCACCGCCGACGCAGAAATTGCTCGCAGCGAGAGGCAGTATACAGTCGAACAGGGCCTTGTTCACAGATCATCATGTCTGGATTACCAAGTACCAGGAGGGCGAGCTGTATGCTGCGGGACGGTTTACGCTGCAAAGCCAGAACGAGAAAGGAGGGGTGACGGATATGGTCAAGCGGAACGACAGCGTTGAGGACGAGGACATTGTGGTGTGGAATGTGTTTGGGCTGACGCACAGTAAGTACTCGTTCGACTTGGCCTTCGCACGACCTGTCGCTGAGAACGTCTCCCTAGATCCACGAGTCGAAGACTGGCCAGTTATGCCAATCGACATCTTCCACGTCAATTTCAGACCGGCCGACTTCTTTGACAGAAATCCAGCAATCGATGTTCCATCCAACAAGAATAACTCGAGCGTCTTGGTGGAAAAGGATTGCTGTTCCTCGGACCAGAAATTGTAAATACGTGTATAGATTGGATTCTCGGTTGGACATGAATGAATCCTGCTTTATCTAGATATTTCATATTCCCAAGTCTTGTTGCCAGGTTCCGGGCTGCATATATCCTAAAATTTCAGTTCAAGCCATGCGATGAAAGCACTGGTTAATATGGTGGTGGCACGCTCCTTCAATAGGATGAATGACTCGCCCAGGCATACACGACTGCATCGCTCTTTCGAGTTGCTGATATGTGCGTACATGGACATCACAGGCCCCCAATGTTGTAATGATTTTCGTCTTGTTTGCGAAAGCGCACAACAGCTCCACTAGGAAACCGGTCCACTGAAACACCGCTTCGCGCCCTTAAATAGGATAGGTCTTATAACATCCCAATCGAGGGAGCTAAGTGGTGGTAGATCAGGTGGTCTAGTTTTCCTATTGTTGTTGAAACAATACACCGACGAGCGTATTCCAACCCTGTTCTCTAGGTATCTTTGAGAATCTATCGATTGTCGATCGGGGAGCGAAGGCTGAGGTGGAAAAACATATTGGTTTAACTAGCGAATATACTCGGGCGCCAAAGATGGGAAAAACAATGGACATATGTTGGGAGTAAGTAGAGAAAGAAGGTGCGGAAAATGCGAAAAAAGCAAAAAAAAAAAAGCAAAAAAGAAACCGTTGGACTTGCTGGGAATCGAACCCAGGACCTTTCCCACGCCCGACGATGGATGTCATATGCTAAGGGAAAATTATACCACTAAACCACAAGCCCGATGATTGCCACTAGACAACTTCCCCTACGTTCACGAGCTGAGCTAAGCTGACCTCGGCGATTGTGAGTTTTCCCTCGACGATTGTGAGGTTTCAAATATTGTTTCCCATTTCTCATGTTCTGTTTCACGTAATAAAAGAAAGCCAAGGTTTTTAACCCCCGTGACGACGCACATTCGAAATATAAACTATAGAGCAGAAAGCCTTGTCTATCTAAACACTAGTCTGAAAGGAGGTGGAGCTCCGGATCTTGAAACCGGCTACAATTCGGGATGGGAGGCCGCTTTTCGCATCAACCTATCAAAGCTGCTTATCCTCGTCGTCGAGGTCGCTCGCTCAGCGCTAATTAGAATCCTGTCAGCACTACGGTGATATCCGGAACGGTCCTGTCACTATTCTTGCAGCGCTCTTGAAAAGCTGTCCACGAGTGGTTGTCCAAATGTTGCCTCGTCTCAAGGTTCCAGCTCGGACCAATGCCTCGAGCTGAGCGACTGTCTACTCCGTAGCGACTGACTGCCTACATACTGTGTTGTGCGACTGGCTTTGGCCAGAGGCAGGCGACCGGCACGGCGGCACCAAGCTCCCGATATTCGGCCGAGGGACTGCGTGTGCCCACTTCATGTAAGCACAGATCCGGCTGTCCCTGGTCGCGGGCGCGGGCTTGTGCGGCAGGCTCAGCACACTCTTCATTTTCGAAATCTTGCTTTCGGAATCCTTGAATCCAGTAATGACCTTTTAGAACTGTAGAAAAGTCTTTCGAATCTCCTTATGTAGCTTGATAATTCGGGCTAGCCAGTTTCTCTATAACTTTCAGCTGCGGGCATCATAATTCATTTTTCAAAAACCAAACATCGAATTGAGGAAAGACTCCTCCGACTCTCGCGAGGCTGTTGTTATCCGACTTAATCAGCCCAGCGAGATTCCGATTCCGCAGCCGAAGTCAGAGGTCGGAGGTTAGAGGTCGGAGCTTACGGTGTCCGACAGGGCCTGAGAGAACTCTGTCTTCACCTCGCGCGACACGCCAAGTGATGCAAGCATGTCATAGTATGGAGAAAACGAGTTCTAGCATTCTCTATGTTTTGTCTTTGCCATCTATAAATCCGTGTCTATGTAGCAAATCATGTCTGTACTATGAAAGACGTATCGAAAAACTCTCCACGAACCTATTGCCTTTCTAGCAGCCTTCCACGCGTTATCGGACAGTTTATCGCTTCCAACGCGGTCCCCCAACCCCTTTGAGGTTTTGTTTCGGTTGCTGTTTCGTGGAGCTCTTAGTTTGCTGTTTTTTGGAGCTCTCAGGTTGCTGTACTTCCTTAAAAGGTGCGATGATTGGGTCGGATGTCTGTAGTAGCCCTTGAAGATACTTCAAGCGTGCGCTTCGAAATTTCATACGCTTCTTCATCTGTTCGTAGTGTTTTGTTTTTGTCGTATGCAAACGCTGCTCTTCGATCATGACCATATCCGCTTGGTACGCATTATACTCGTCCTTTATCAGGTCATCGAATCCAGCCACGATTTGTTCCAATCGTGTGAGCTTAAGTGGACTCAGGTCGGGTTGGCGAACTAGGCAGATAAGTGAAATACATGGTATAAGCCTCGAAATTTGTACTCACAATAGGGTGGATCATAGCATAGCGAATCGCGCTCATCGTGAAATTGCGTACCCTGAGACTTTGCCTGGATTCAGCATACATACTTTGCCAAAAAATAATTAGTTTTTCCTCAAACTGTAGTCTGGTGACAAGGAGTATCCACGCCGCCAGTCAACAATGAGCCACATGCATACATGTATGGATTTTCATCGGTTGGAAGTAATGGATCAAGCTATACCTCATCAACGTATGTATTCTCAGTTGGTGGTGGTGTTTCCTAGATGTCTTAGTAAATCTTCGAATACCGAATTGTCTTACGTACGGACAATGGCCAAAATGCGAGTTCGTCTATTTCACATAAGCCGCAGTGCCGCACATCGTCACCTGGGCCGGAACGCTCGACTTTGCTGAGATTGCTGTTGTAATAAAGAAGGAACAAATGTTAATGATATACACTAGGGGGTTGTAGAAGGAAGATAGAGAAGTTGCTCATGCCAGGTAAGCTTAACGAGGAGTGGCTAATGATTATATGTATGTGTGGGCGTGGAGTCGTGGACTTTGCCACGCAAGTGGATGGAGAACTGAGGCTAAGAAGCATTGATGTCAGTCTGCCTTGACGTTTCAATTAGACGTCTAAGCCGTCACTGTGTACACATATGAACCTTGTTGCGTGCGGCATCAGTCCATCCCCCTCCCCCCTCGTTGCACCCAACATACCAGATAGCGGGATAGCCGGTCGATTGGACGATATGTTCTCATCCGTGTCCCCTGAACCAGGTCGGCATATCCATAGCATGAAGAAGAGGGCGGAGCTTTCTGCCTGTTTCATGGAAAGTCACACGATATAAAGCTTTTGATCGGTTCCGTGGTGCTATCATGATGGCAGTGCATCTTTAGAAGCACGCACGTTGATACCTTGCTCTGTGAGGCTTTTATTTTGTCATCCAAAGTCTCCCATTAATAGATGAACGACAGTTGTTGTGAATGATAACATATTGATGTAAAAATGGCATACCATATTAGTTCTCACGCAATTGAGGCAACTCCTGCCAAACATTCCTAATCTCAAGAGCACTTAAGAGCTTTCTTTAACGCCTCTGAAGTCTGCATGGCAAAGCAAGCATAACTCTGCCGGAAGGGGTGTCGAAGCTAGGCCCAGTGGTGGGGGGGGGGAGGGGGGTTCACCGCAGGTTGAGGCGGTAGGGTATCTGTCTGCGCCTCTGGCAAGAGTCCGACATCAGGCAGCCATGTTTGCATTAAATCACATACAGAAGTCAGATTTGATGAGACTGAAGGCGTACTAGGGCAGGGACAAGTCCCAATGGAAACGGCCATTGGAGTTAGCGAGTCCACTGGGAACACCGAAGTGATGAGGAAGAGAACGGAGCAACTAATATTTGACCGGCCTAGTTCCATTTCCTTGTAGAAATGATGGCTTGATCTCCAAGGTCCTTCTATTGTCAGGGGAAAAGGTGGGTACCCATGTTGGAGCGAAAATGGACCTCGTCACCTCGTACAACAGGGATACTCATGAGGCTATGTCCTCTAAACATGCAGGAGCGCCGCCACTGTCTCATAGCCCTTCAAAGTTCATGCTATTGCCGTGAAGTGAGAAGGATACCGTGGGGATAGGGTGCACACACTGCCACACAGCCAGCGGATTCAGCTTGAGTGAAGTATAAAGTCATGGCCATCGTCGCTTGATGACTTTCATTCAGATCCTCTCGAAGCGCAAAACTCTCTCTCAACAACACAATGCTGTTTTTTGCTTGCCTGGTGTATTTGAGCTGCTTGGTCATCAATATTTTATACATCATATCCACATGGACATCGTGGTCGTGGACACATCGATTCGAACGTTACCCGCCGTACGCAGTGGACTTACTGACCATTCTTTCTGGTCTTGTAGCATTACTAGTGCTGGGAAGTAATCCAGCTCCTCAATCGAGATCGATCGATGTAGTCGGAGTTTGCGTACTTCCTATTACACTCTGTACCCATGTAAGGTTTTTGGTATATATTGTTGCGTCGGCTAAGTAATTTTCAGACATCAGTACTCTGTTTATTCTTGACTCACAGACCTGAGCTGAAATGGCTGAAATGGCTACCATATCCAATCGCAGCAGGTATCTTGGCAGGAGCGATCGCAATGCTGCATCTCGTTAGGTACGAAGATCATCCTCTCTTAGTATGCTTCATATCAATGACTGACAGTTTCTAGTCCTGGAAACATCATCGTTCTTCATTTGACGATGATAGGCGTTTGCTTTATGATCAAGAGCCTTCACGTATTCGTCTTTGCTTACAACTACCACAAACATCGGATGTCTGGCGCAAACAACTTGAGTGGGTTCTATATGTTGCTATTGACTGCAAATTCTATCTCAGCATGTTGTATGCTTCTTGGCCTTGCTACTCTACTCATCCTCCGGAGCGCCAGTAGCAAGGCAGCCACTAAAACCTCCAACGACATATTTCTTGTGAGTCGAAATGTGTAAATGATTTTATACAACTAACTCATTGTAGGCCTCCATCTTGATGCAGTACGTCTGTATCCTTGCATTCATCTGGGAGTCTCTTCAGTCCTTGTATCATAGGACCAGGGCGCCATCGAGCTCTGTCGGTCCGGTTTTGGAGAGTGGGGGTGATCCGGTGATGGACCTTCCGTGATGCGATGGTATTAAGCATCGAGCTTCTCAGCTCCTTTGGTAAGAGACCTTGGTCACTTCGATGTTGCCATGTAGCGATGCGGAATTAAAGCTGGACTTTCAAGTACATTGAATATGTAGAGGTATCTAAAACTGATATTCTGCGGATCAAGACACTCGGTCAAATCGCCACTTTTTACATCTCAAATTATTAACTAACGTTATGATACTTTCAATGGCAATCTAATTCGAGTGCAACTGAGGCAATTGTAGGATGAATAGCATGCAAAACAACCAATTTACTTCCTACGCTGCCTTGCTGGAAACGATCAGAAACAAATACATCCCGCAGCGTGTTTAGAATAAGTCGAGGCCTTAGCTCAAGCGAGTGCGTCACAGCTTTCTTCATGACCAGACATCTTGGTTTTGATTGACGTATTGCCGAAAATAAATCGATCCCACCGTGATCGCCAATTGCTTGCCACACCTGTGCCCTGCTCATGTAGAGTATTCGAGACTTGGAGGAGTTGAAGACCGGAAAATAAGTATGAATATTGATATGCTTTCGACCTTTGAGAACAGGTATCCAACCTGGAGTAGAGATGGGGACGGATCCTACAATATGGGGAGCGCAGAGAGTCCACTTTGACAGTGAAGCAATGGCTTCAGCCGTACGTGGTGGAAAGTCGCTTCGAAGCTCAAGATCTGTACACGACTCTGGGACCAGATGTTGAAATGCTGTTGGACGAAAGTCTTGTAGG